TATATATATTAATATATGGGAGCGATGGAGGCAACTAATGGCATTAATGTTATTTGTTACAGAAAGTTGCCAGCATCATATTAAATTTTCACAGACGATGAAACTCAATATAACAAGAGTGACCTTGCGATATTACCAGTCTGCAAACAGAGACAATATTAATCGAGAGAGGGAGGTAGAGAACGGGAGATAGCGTACGAGAGCAATACATAAAGAGAGCGGAAATTCATTTTTAAATACCTTTAACATTTTGTTGCTCGCAAATGCCTTTATACTCTATAGGAAATTTGAAACGAACTTCATTACATAGATATATGTCTTTACATACAGCTTCAATATAGGTTGTTATATTTCTTATTCTGATATATTCGCTATTATGATCTTATCTGAATATCGGCAGTAATTCGTGTGATGCATTTTGATTTACCATCTATTGCAGGACGATCACGGACTGCGACCTCGAGGAACTGACACCGGGAACATTTGACAACTACATAAGTCTTCGCGCACTGTGAGTATGTCTGTCTCATTTGTTTACTTTGTCGCGAGATTGCGCGCATATTGCGTTGCTTGCGTGCATTTTCTGCGAATTAAATTGCTACGCATTTATAATATAAATATACTCACACTACGTTTTGTACGGCCGAGCTGCGTCGCTGCTGGCTGTAGCTGATCACGTGCCTGGCGTCATAAGCGAAATAACATATTTGACTTGTTATTTGAAACTGAAAAGACTAACTAAAAGCATTTTTATTCTGAATGTCGGATGCCGAGGGCGACAGTATAGTTAAGTTGATTACATTTTGCAACCGAACAGAGACAAGCTTGAGTATGGACGATCTCGGGCAGAACTGCACGCGCTGGAAATGATGAAATGATTGATATTCCGCGTATGTGTTCTGTTCCCTCTCGGCGAAAAATCGCTACAAAGACACGCATTTACGCGTGCAGTTAACTTATACACACGCAAAGCTACCAGTGTCAATTGACGGTTAACCGCAGGGCAATTACGTTTTATTCACCTCTGCTGCAGTGTCACTGTGTTTTACAACGCGATGGTGATTGCAACGATAAAATTGTGAAGCACGCGTTCGGTCCTGAGTCGTGTGTTCGGGCACGACAATTTCCACGTGCGCGTAGCTTCATTTCCGAGGTTTTATAACCAATGCAGCGTAGCACATCTTAGGCTGCCATAGTGCCGATAATTCGTGTCGGTGACCGACGAACGGGTTTAATATTAGGATTGAAAAGACGCAACATGTTTGTCATCCGATTAATTCATCTTTTGCAGTGTTATCGAAAGATGCAGCAAGTTGACGCGAATCGCCCCCGGAACGTTTTCGCCTCTACTGACGCTTCAGATACTGTAAGGATAATACGTTTCACTCACCTCAAAAAACCTTGCCCGTCACCATTTACCGCACAGGTTACCGATTCAGGCGGTGTTAGTTCCATGTCTCACCGATATTTCACCCGCTTGTGTGTGCTGTGTACAATTGTCGTGGCTTTATTCTGTTACTGCGTCTGTAGTATAATGTCGGGAGTTAGACCGTTGTCGCTATTTACACGGCCAGGTGCTATAACATCGACCTGGCGCTTTAGACTTCAAGAGTATCGTGCCACCAGCAGCCAGCAGCTCCCACAATGCTATTATTTATTACTAACCTGGTACCCGGCGTTGCTCGGGGAAAAACGCTTAGGAAAAAATTTAAGAGCATATTCAGCCACATATACTTAATTCTAAAATATTTTCACCCCCTCACCCATACGATCCCCATCAGAAACGAAAGAGAAACGTACTGGATTCACAATCTAAACACTATCCAGCCACACGGACTCAATCTACGGGTAGAAATTCCGGGATGGATAGAAGACAGTAATCACCCTCCCATCAGCATGGTATACACGCAAGGCTAATTCTCAGCCGACACTCTAGGGTAGCGGGTGGCTCGGTTTACCTTTTTATAACTTTTTTTTTACTTAATTCTAAGGATAGATTCGTAACAGAGAAACAAACAGTAAGAAATATTCTGACAAAAACAGTTCGAACGATTGTATGATTCTGTGTAGTCAAAGCTTCTGGATAAACAACATTGTTATGAAATTGCGACAAGTTATTATGAATATGCCTCTCTGGCTTTGCAAGCCTCGTCTCGCCTTTTAAATACACAATTTGTGACATTTGTCACGTGTCTCTCTTATTATTGGGATTCGCTTTACATCAAAATAATACATAAAAACTGAACTAAACTAAATACATATGTCAACAAACTGAACCCGTCAATAATGCACGATATCAGTTCAGGGTCACTTTCATCGTAAAATAATGAGCAGATATTAAAAAGTAAATATTTCTCTAAACGTATGGATATCACCTCATTTTAACCAAATTAGTTGGTTAATTTGGCAGAGATCTGCACCAGTGAAGTCACCAGAGATGACATTATCAAAAAGATGAATAGCAAACTTAATTCTATATACCATGTTATACATTATATCCGAATGTATACACAGACAAATTACAATTTAAAAAATACAAATAAACGAAAATGAACCACTAAAAGTGTGTGTTGTGCTGCTTTTGAGACTCAACTGACAACTGAGTGCATAATAATAATAAAAATGTATAAATTTGGCACAGTTTAGCCTGGTATTAACAAAGTTTTGGCTTTTGTCGGCTAGATGGCTACATTCGCGGGAATTCGGCTGTTCTACTTTTCTGACATCACCCCACTGCTAAAATTATCGCACGTATTTATCGTCATTATATCTACAAATATGGGTGGATTTAACAAATATGGATAGGCCTATGTTGGTGTCCGACACACGGGCTATACACTGAGATCGGTGGCGTGGGCTTGATGCTCACCGCGGCGAAGATTACTGCGTCAGAAAATCGGCCTCTCTCTTATAATATAGATTAACTATTTATTACTATTCTGCTCGTTAACCCCGTTCAACTGCTCGGGAAACACTTCATCTTTCTTACTGTTACACGGTGACAATGAAAGCGTGCTTTTTTGCGTATTCTCCGACATTCTAATCTATCTGTCAGACCAGTCGGGTGGCTATGTACCGCGTTGCCCGGTAGTCACCCAAGCATTCAGCCACACGTACGTGTTAGGTCTTACTAAGTAGAACATCCCGTTAATTCATTCCAGCGATAACCGGATTTCTTACTTTCAGGAGGATTCAGCAATGTCTTGCCTTAAAAAGGATAGGTCCGGGCGTTCTTCCCTTTTTTCCACTACTTATGGAGCTGTGAGTATCTTGTAACGATGATATGAGCTAGCGCGTGATAGTAGGGGAGACCGGGAACAATTGTACACGGGGCAAATGTAACAGAGGCCCTCATTCCTAGTAGAAGCGTGCTATATGTATACGCTCTTCACAGCGCATGCACATTTCATTGCCCCACATGCTGTCCTGAGGGTAGGCAGGTTTACGCATCGAGAAACATTTGACAGCCAAAACATCGTTTTTTTAGCAGGTATAGTAAAATCTCGAATTACCTAATGTTTTTTTCTGGACAAATATGTACTTGAGCTATCACTATCATTTGTATATCATAAAAAAATAGGTTTTTAGGCCTGTATTTGGTAAAAGTTTTATTGACGAATACTAATGCTAAGATACAAAAACAGCCCCCAAATTATGGCCGTCTCCTCGGGGGCAAATGTAACAACGTGTTACAATTGCCCCTTGGCATCTATAAAAAGTATGTGTTTTGTTTATAAGGCAAAAAAGTAGCCTATCTATAAGCTCAGACATGAAAACTACATAACTTTGAATTAATGGGTCTGTAAATATGTATTGTTCACAAGGCAATAAGTAGATTATTTATATATTTTATTCATATGTAAATGAGTCAAGCATTCGTCATAGTTTTTATTAAAATTATTTTATTGTAGTTCTATAAATTGCTGTTTAATTGTTGAAAATCTGTCCAACGTGTCACCTTTATAAAAAATATAAAAAATCTTTCTGAGGGATATGATTTGTTGGTACAATTGTATGTGTTACAATTGCCCCATTGGTGTGTTATAATTGCCCCGTGTTGTGGGGCAATTGTAACACTTGACTTCCAGTTTTGAAATGATAATGGCTTCAAAATAACTTGTTTTACTTAACCCAAACCTAGTCATATTTCAAGCCAAGATATGCATCTTTAATTTCATATACCTTGAAGTAAGTATTTAACTATAATGAAGTTGTTATGTCAGATTTGGAAAAAAGTGTTACAATTGTCCCCGGTCTCCCCTATCCATATTCCACCAAATCGATTACTCGGCAAACCTCGATCGATTCTGTATTTACATATCATATCTATATCTACATCTACACCTACAGCTACATCGACATCTACATCTACATTTACATCAACACCTACATCTACACCTACAGCTACATCGACATCTACATCTACATTTACATCAACACCTACATCTACATCTACATCTACATCTACATCTACATCTACATCTACATCTACATCTACAACATCTACATCTACATCTACATCTACATCTACATCTACATCTACATCTACATCTACATCTACATCTACATCTACATCTACATCTACATCTACATACCGAATAGGACGAGGTGTGCCGAGTACGTAACGAGATGATACGTAAACCCACCTCCGCATCAGGTCGACTGCAGATAACTGCATCGTGATTGCTACGATGCAGCACGATTAAACTCAGGTAAAATCAAATTATCGGTAATAATAGGCGAAAGAGAGCAGAGAAACATTAAGACTTTAATTGGTAATAAATACATTTCGTGTTTATTTACCATCATTTCATTATTGAAACGACGCCGTAGCCAGGGAGGGGGGGGGGAACGGGAAGCTGCCTCCCTAGATTTTGGAGCAAAATTAAACAAATAAATTGTTCTACTAAAAGAGAATTGTCGTAGTCAGAATGAAGGCTGTACATGTACTCAAAAGTGCCTCAAATACCATCTCCTGCGATCTACATTTTCAAAATTTTCTGTGGGAGGACCCACAGACCCCCACACCTGTTTCTCACCCCTCCTTGAAATCCTGGATCCGCCACTGCCCTCCCGCCTAGGAAATTGCTCAGCCTAGGGCCCTGAGTTACGTTCCCGAGCTTGTGCTATGAAAAAGGTCAGGATGCGTCGTCGTTATGTATCCTTCCAATGGGATCCTTAGATGATGATAATGTGATTCCTCTAATGTGTTCGCCTAATAACATGATGAAACTCGACCGCCATTTCCTCGCGGAATACGAGGACGCGTGGGCCGTATTTGTATTCGCTATATAACGGAAACGAGCACGGAACAATTGTCAAAAGTGTTAACAGCTAAGCTGAACGAACACCCATAGAAATAGACCTTTCTGATTTCTCATATAGTTTTTCGCGAATATGGTTGTTACCGCATTGTATATACTATGGACCTTTGTCTGCGAAGCATGGCCGATAGGTGAGAAGGATTCTATAGCATTTTTTCTCTCCTTTTTTTCTCCGCGTTTAAAGTGGATAAAACTCGGTGATGTATTCTAAGCTCGTCTATGCATGCTGAAGGAATACACTTAAGCTAATTAATATATCTTATTAAGCTAACTCATTATCCTCGGAATAGCTGGTTTCACATGACTTCTTTAGTAATGTGAAAGGTCTTAATATATATAGGCTGTGTTGTTGCGCGCACGCTACTGCTGCGGACTCACACACCAACATTCTATTACACCAACACTAACATACTCTGAATGACACGACATAGTCATCAATGTGCTAGAGTCAGCTAGACGATCCAGACAGGCAAGGATGGTACTCTTAAAACATTTCCATGGTTGAACAGAACAAATTACAAGCTGAACGCAATGAGTTAAAAACAAATTAGTTTTTATATATTTCTTCAGTACAGCTAAGGTAATAGCTATATTATTATATATTATTTATATATATATATACATATATATATATATATATATATGCACGCAATGTTTGCAATGTGACTTGTACGTTGTCTCTGTAAAACATGAACATTTCATGGTAAGCGGGGTAAATATTGCAATTGCTGGCAACCATGTAGGCCGGTCCACTCTCGCACACGGAGAGTTATCCACAGAGGCTGTATCACACGTGTCTGTCACGAAACTACTAAACGCATTTATTTGCGCTGTGCGGCCCTACGCGTATACTCTCGATTGTCACGGACCGAGAATTGAAAACCCGTCTAGGGAACGCGTCATTCGATGGTAGAACTGTGAGGAAGGATTTACTCTTGTGTTTTAAAGCGTACTTAGGACCCGAACGAAACACACACGATAACATTGAAAAAACTGCCAATCGCTCTTAAACCAGCTTTGACTTTCTCAAGAGGTGGTCGTGATTAGCCGTAACTATCTAGCAGAGCACATCTGCAGCTATAGCTCTGCGATTGAAAGTAAGAATACACCCGACAACTCTAAGCACTTTTGTTATGTTGCTAGTTATTATTGCGAGCTTCGCTTCCACACCCTAGCCGTAGTTGGTTGATTGTATATTTTCTCTGCACAAGAGTCGTCAAGAGATGTGGGTTGGAAGAGGTGCCGGACTTCAGTTCATTCAGTTCTGCCGAAAGAACGAGTGACCATGTGCCACGCATGTAAGTATGTTTTAGTATGACTGCATGTTGCAGGGGCGCGGTATGTGCGTATACGTGTGCGTGCATGTGTGTGTGTGTGTGTGTGTGTGTGTGTGTGTGTGTGTGTGTGTGTGTGTGTCTGTGTGTATGCGTGCGGAACGCACTTGAAGAACGCGCGTGTGAAGAACTTCTATTCTAGTTCTATGGTGCATGCGTATGTGTGTGTGCGCGCGTTCGTGCGTATGTGCGTATGTGCGTGTGTACGTATGTGTGTGTGTGCATGTGTGTGTGTGTGTGTGTGTGTGTGTTGTGTGTGGTGTGTGTGTGTGTGCGTGCGCGTGTGTGTGTGCGCGTGCATGTACATGAGCGTGTGCGAGTGTGTGTATATGCGTATATAGTGTTGGCATATATGGGGGCGTCCATGCGTACGTCTGCATTCGCGCGTGTGTGTGTGTGCGCGCTCTCATGTTTGTTCGCGCATAATTTCGTACGTAATTATATATATATGCACGTCAGTATAACTCTGAGTATGTGAGTGCGCGCACGCGTATGTGCATGAGTGTGCGCGTGGTGCGTGCGTGCGTGGGTGTTTGTTTGTTTGTTTGTTTGGTGTGATGTTGTGTGTGTGAGTGTGTGTGTGTGTGTGTTGTGGTGTGTGTGGTGTGTGTGGTGTGTGTGTGTATGTATTGTAGATGTGCTCAGTGTGTGTGTGTGTGTGTGTGGGTGTGCGTGTGTGCGTGTGTGCATGCGTGCGTCTGTGTGCGTGTGTGTTTGTGACTTTGTAATCGCCCGAGCACGTTTCAGTCAAATATTGCTAGTACAGATCCAGCCACCCGAGAGTTGGTTCTTATAGTAAACACACACGAATATTATTAGTATTAAGTGTGTTGTTTTACGTTTCAAGAGACCTGGAAAGCAACCGTATTCACGAGATCAAGTCGCATGCGTTTAGCGGTATCAGAAGCAGTGACCTGTAAGTATCCATATTAAATTTTGTTTCCTCACGCCTGCCTGTTTGTCTGTCAGTTTGTCTGTCAGTTTGTCTGTCTGTCCTGTCTGTCTGTCTGGCTGTCTGCCCGTCCGTCCGTTCGTCCGTCCGCACGCCTGCATGCCTTAATTTTCTTCTGTTCCCCGTTTCTACATACTGAAACGTCATATAACCCTCACATATATTTATCGCCCATGTCGTGTAGGTGTAACATTATAATTACCTTAAAGGGATACTAGACTCTAGGATTTCACTGCATACAACGGTACTTACTGTATAACAAATCGTCTATACCCACACGTACTTGTTACCAGATACCTAATTTAATTGTTATAATTAATTATACATCAACGCTACGAAATTTGAACGGCGCCATTGACACCCGCAACCGTGCTGCCACCCTGAAAAAGTTGCGCATTTGATCATTTATTTTGCACGTTACAGACCGAGGGCTAATCACAAAAGTGCTATTATATTTATACCTAAATGCTATTTAACCGAACGATGTTCATTTTAGGACAAATTTATCGATAATATAACTGAAACTATATGCCGTTTATAAGATATTACAATCCTTTCGCTTTTAAATTAATAAATAACAAACACCCTCGGTCTGTAGCCCTTGGCTGAAAAGTCGTTTTGCGCAACTTTTCAGATCGTACGCTTTGAGTGGCGCTACCGTCGTTGTAATCAAACTGCAGTCGTTAGTTTTAAAACATATTTCTAATGGTGATTGAACCATGAAGCCTTTTATGTAGCGTAATTTTAACCTAAATTAACTGAAAATAATCCTAGAACCTAGAGTAAATAATCCCTAAGAGAGTCGTACATTTTGAGGTGGAAACGATCGCATTGCGGCTCCCGCACATGCGTTTGCGTTTCTCTGTGGTCACGTGTGCGTGCCTGCAGACAAGTGTGCGTGCCTGCGTGCGTGTGTGCGGGCATGCGCATATCGTGCGTGTTTGCGAGTGTGTGTGTCCGTGCGCATGTGTAAGTCTGTGTGTGTGGGGGGGGGGCGTTTACGTGTGCGTCCGTGCATTGCCGCGAAGTTGGAATAACGCCGCGAAATTAGCTTTTTTTGCTCTGTGTGAGTCAGAATACAGACATCTACTAGCGTACTAGCGTGCTGCGATCGTAACATATTATTATAGTGTCCAATAACGCAACTCTCGAGTAATCCCTAATAATAATAATAATGAGATATACACACGAGGCGTCTTGCTCTCGTTGTTCCAATATGAGGGGGAGAGTGGTTATTTTTGAGACGCAGGATTGGACGAGGTTAATTATTTGGTAACCGCGAAATACCATAAGAATCTTACGTGATTCGTGAAAAGGAAGTCAATCAAAAACTGGGAAATAGCTTGTAATTTTTACATGAGAAACTGGGGATGGACCCACCCTCCTTACCCGCTTCTAAGAGTATACAGAAAGCGTTAACAGTGTTAACATTCACGCGTAAAATCATAATATTGATTATTGCTTCTCCACGTTGTCTATATCTGGAGGCGTATGTCAAATAATGCCTGTCACTGGCGCTGCAGTTGACGTTTGATATTAGTGTCATGTCGCGGTTTATGTACAGCGCTGATGGGGCCTATACTAGCTACCTTTATCAGACTGCATGTGATGCCATTAAGAAACGCCAAGTCTCGGTCAGATCCTCTATTATCACTAGACTCTATATTTACCGGGTCTAGCTCCCACCGCGTGTGGAAGAGCATGGCCCATCTGTGACATTGTTCGCGTGCTTTATCGGGAGATAAAAAGCTAAAAGGTTTGCCGCCTAAACGAACTTCTATATATAGACAGGAAAATAATGCCAGTCTATGTGCGACTTCGAACGTTAAATTGACTACGTCACGAATTATCTGGTGTATATTTAAAAAGAAAATTGTTGCCATTTTTTACATTAAAAGTAAGTACTTACGGGACTAAATGTATCGTCAAATTCCTACCTGATAGATTGTTTCTCAACTAGTTAAAAAACCTGGACGATTTTATATTATGATCCTGACATTAATTGCTTGCTATGAGCTATGTATGAGTCACGAGTGTATGTTTGCATCGAACAATATAGTAAAATAAAAAGTATAATGCAGCAATTTAACCATAAAAAGTTACATTTTGTAAAAAAGTGGAATTTTTTTTTTACTTTTATTATTAACGATGACGGTCACAGTTAGGTCATCGCTTTTAGTTAATAATAAGGATTAGACATCATTGTTTGAACCGTTCTAAGTGTACATGTATTACTGTTATTATATTACTATCTACAGTGTATTATGTCTCATGTATTATGTGTTATGCCTTATGTATCATCATACATCATGTATTCTTTCTCACATATATTATATATTATCATGTATAACGCAACGCAACGTGCTGAATGTCGAACAAATGGCGGAAGTAAATATCTGATTTCTCACGTTTTACACGCGGAGTGTTGGAAATCCTAAATTTTATATTGCGCGCTGACACATGCGTTGTCTATGCAGCCGACTAGACTACAACTTGATACGGCGGGTGAGAAACAGCGCCTTTGAAGGAGCATCGGTGCATACGCTCAGCCTGAAACACAACGGCGACCTGGAGGTGTTAGAACCACGTGCCTTTGCCGGAATCAACCACCTCACGAATTTGTAAGTGTACAGGTTATATAATGTACTAGCGGGATACCCGGCGTTGCCCGGGGAAATCAGTGGCGTTACTCAGTTGGTGACCGCTTGGTGGAAAGGAAAATACCCAAAAAAATCTAACTATCCATGCATGCATGCATGCATCCATCCCATTCCATGCCATCCCATCCCATCTCATCTCATCGCATCGTATCCCATCCCATCCCATATCCCATTCCATCCCATTCCATCCCATATCCCATCCCATCCCATCCCATCCCATCCCATCTCATCGCATCCCATGCCATGCCATGCCATCCCATGCCATGCCATGCCATGCCATCCCATGCCATGCCATCCCATCCCATCTCATCGTATCTCATGCCATGCCATGCCATCCCATGCCATCCCATCCAATCCCATCCCATCATATCCCATCCCATCCCATCCCATCCCATCCCATCCCATCTCATCGCATCCCATGCCATGCCATGCCATCCCATGCCATGCCATGCCATGCCATCCCATGCCATGCCATCCCATGCCATCTCATCGTATCTCATGCCATGCCATGCCATCCCATGCCATCCCATCC